TGTTACTGCCCTGTGATCCCAGGGTCTCCATGGAGGTCAACCAGGACCTGTGTGGGCAGGGGGCTCTTGGCCAGGCGGGCAGTCAGGGAGCTGCATCCAAGTGGGATGGGTGGGTGGTGACTGGGGCTGGGGCCTGGGGCAGAGCTGGGATTTGCTCCCTGCACACCCTTTCCCACAGAACAAGCGTTTCTTGGGCAGTGGATCATGGCTCTGCTCTGGGCCCCAGCCCTGTGCTGTCACTGCCCCATGATTGTAGCCCTGCCCATCCATGCCACTCTTGGATGTCACTCCCTGCCTACCTATGGCCCCATCCCAGCCACGTGCAGGTCCCACCTCTGGCGGTGGGTGCACAACAGACAGGCTGGGGTGCCTGGGCATCAGGGCTGGGTCCAGTGGTGGTGGCAGCCAGAAGGAGCCACCACCATTGCAGCTGCCAGGAATCGAGTCCAGTCACTGCTGCTCCAGCCCTGCTGTGTGTCTGGGAATGGTGGGACTGGCTGCACGCATCATGGCCCAGGCTGTGCCCTGCACCTGGGCCTGGCAGGACCAAGGGACCCACCGCAGGCCAGACAAAATCATTTGGTGGACCAGTTCAGCCCACAGGCTGAATTTTACCCACCCTTGGTGTAAGCTGTGTTCGTCCCAAGTTTTGCCTGGGATCAGTCAGAATTGCCTCAATGCAATATCTATTTTTACTGTTGGATACTTCACAGGTACTTAAAGTGGGGCAATGGTCTTGTAGGTCTGTAGGATCCCAGAATAAAAGGTTTTGTCCTGGAAGAAATCGAACATCTGTTTTTAGCCTAAGTTGTAAGGAAAACATGCCTAAAAAAATGTGAAGTGTTGTACCACTCTGAGGCTTGAAACAGGCAGTGCATTTATCTTGGGATAAATCCTAAAGAAGTTTCCAAGATAAGAGATAGTAACAGTTTATCCTGGGATATTGTAAAATACATCTGTACACTTATCCCAGCATTTCATCATTGAATTTATGGCAGAAAAGCAGCACTGCATTCAGCCTCTCGTGAAACCCTGATTAGAAGGGCAATGCATGTACACACCAATTATAAAATAATTTTGTTTCTGGACAAACGCATAATTTATCCAGGAACAAATGCAACATCTGTTTCAAGCCTAAGTGATCCGGGCTGGCTTGGTTTCTGATAAGTGGAATGGTCAGAAAATAGATTTGATCATCCTGACACAGATGTCTCTCAGAATCATCTGTTGAACTGCTCCACTTTGTGTAAATCATTACGTTCATTCAGCCAGAGGAGTGAAAAAGTAACTAACTGTTGGTGGGAAAGAAGACAGGGCTGTATAAATTCTGTTTCTTTTGACTGACTAATGAGAAGGTTAATATCTGATTCAATTCATCTCTTATTCACACCTTACAACTGTACTGGACACACACTGGTAAGATCCTACAGTACAGTGCTACCCTTTGGTTCTGTCTGCCTAAGAGTCAATCTAGGAAGAGAGAGATTTTTCAGATGAACTATCAATCTGTTATAAATATATATTTTGGTAATTCAGTCTTTAAAGTAAAATGAACAAATGCTTACCCAGTGGCGCACATCCCGGAACACAGAAGATAAGATAGTTTCCCCAGTCTATAGACAACCTGTGTAGTAATGGCTTGGCGACAAGATGGACACATTGTGGATGCTGGCTTGCTTCTAAAGATCCCTGCTACAACGATTGGAGGCTGAGACACTATGTATACTGAATGTAGAAAGAAATACAAAGTAAAAAGGGAATTAGTATTACTCCTTATTGTGTCTCCTTGCCACTTCTCCCTTTTTCTCATAACAGCCACATAGCGAGAAATATATATAAGATCACTTCTACTAAGGTCATCCAGCTTAAGAAAACCAAACAACAGTGTTTCACACTTGGCCCCTATACATGTGCAGGGAGGCTGCTCTGACAAGTTGTAATTACTGCACTCCAGTAGACTCCAGCATCATGTCCAGAGATCCTGGTTTTCTCTGATTTAAAAAAATCCCTAATTTTTGGTTTAAAAAAAAAGGAACCCCGAGTCCACGCTTTTCCGTGATCGAAATGAAACACCACTAATATAAAGATATATATAATGGTGTTTCATTTTACCCAAGGGACCCAATCCTGCTCCAAATCCACATTTTCCATGATTTAAATGAAACACCACTAATATATAGATATATAGCTATATATATAATGGTGTTTCACTCATATATAGTACTTTTTCATTTTAATCATGGAAAATGTGGATTTGGAGTTACTTTTTTTTTTTTTTACTAAAAACTGGGGACTTTTTTAAATCGGAAAAAACCAGGATTCCTGATCAAGTGTATCAGCATCTCTGCGCTGAAACGTTGCGGTGGAGTGCTTTAAAGCTCATTCAATGAGCTTTAGTTTAAAGTGCCCTGCTGCCATTTTTTTTGGCACAGGGACACTGATACAGGTGATGATCTAGGCACTTTAGTTAGCACAGCTTTTGGAACAGTGCTAATTAAAGCAACCCACCTCCCAGACCATGTCTATAAATGCTCACTGAGTCCAAAGCAGGCAAAATTTTAAAAACTGCCAGAACTTTTTTTTTACCATGTTCTTGCTCAGAATGAAACTCTGAGAGGTGTGAAGCACCAAGAATGGAAACAAAATAACTTTGGCACTTTGCAAGAAAACTAGTAAATTCTGGACAATTCTTATGTCATTTCCCATGTTCTGAAACATCAAATCAAACCTAAGATTGCGAAAACTTTTTCTAGTTGGGTTGCAAGAAAGCATATTTTCAATGCAAATTCTTAGGACTAACAACCTTAATAGTAGGTGTACAGGTCACAAATCTATTTCTAATGTGTCTAGTCTGGACATATTACAAATGTTGATTAAGAATACTCTTCAGGAACTGGCGTACCGGATGAGCTGTATTATTTACCCACTCCTTTATGCTGTCTCAATGAGTAGCGCTAAATGATTGGGGCTAAACAGACTGCATGGAAACCCATAGTTGACATTTATAGTATAATCTCCCAAGAGAGGAAGTTTTCTCTACCACCCAGCAATTAGTGGTTATCTTGTGTTTTTAAAACATAAGGGTTTACATCCTGGATTTTAGAACAGGATTGTTCATAATCTAACTCTGCATGTTCTTGGTAACTGACAGAAAACCTTACAGTGACACAAATAAATTGAATGTTACTAGAGTTTTTTAATCAGTTCTGGCAATAGCAAAGAAACCCATCAAATTTCATTCATACATTTGGCTAATTCATTACTAAAAAATAATGCTGACCCTCACTGACAATGTTTGGAAACTGATGCATCTGGCAGTTTCTCAGTCTTTTCCAATAAAGGTATGATTGGAAACTTTTAAGAGGATAATAATGGATATTCCTTAGTACCACAACAGTTTTCTAGGGGAAAATTTATTCACCAAAAATGTGACTTCAGCCATTCCAAAATTATTAATGAATTTGACACAGTTTTTTAAAATTAGATTCATGAACTGCTAAAGAAAAAAGTGACTGAAACTGTCCCTTTTCTTAATAACCCAAGGGTTACATGTCTTCTACAGGTGTTGTGTGTGCAGCTGTTTTAACTCACACCCCTACCTCCCAGGGAAGTGCCCTGACTCCTAGGCAGTTGGATATCATGCGGTACCCTTTCCTCAAAATCTGGTATTGAATCTGTTCCCCTTTGTCTACAAGACTTCAGTATGCATTGAGACTCTCTAATGTGGTGATCAGAGACACTGACTTAAATTATAATCCCTACTTAGCAAATATTTAAATCTCTTTACAAAGTGGAACAGTGACAACAAGAGAAACTGAGACCAATCAACTCCAAAATAGCTAGTTGGTTAAGATACCAGAGGGAGGTGGGTCCAAATCCCAGGATCAGGACAGATTTAAAACCTGTTCTTCCACCTCTTAAGGTGTACGTACATGTTATAATTAACACGTGCTAACTCCAATCCCTCACCCACAGACAGGTGCCTGCCCCCTGGTGGCTATCTTGGGACTGGAAGTCCCGCCCCCTAGTCCCTGACCTTTGCCACCAGAAGGTTCTCCCCTTGCCCCCCCGGAAGTACTCCTTTCAGCAAGGGTTTTTGCCATCTCAGAGCCAGAATAATACCAAATTATATTCTAAAAATTGAACACCTATAACATTCATTCATTTGATTTCAAAAAATATTTTTGTCCTGATTTACATGCATTTGTGTAGTGCACATAGAGGTGATTGCACAGTAGCTTAAAATTGAAGTCTTACTCTTGTATATTATGCAGGAGTGGGTATAGGTTTGTGGGGGGCTGTGGGTGTGTGGGGATATGGGGTGTGGGGGAGGAGTTTTGTGGGGGGGATAGGTGTGTGTGTGCATGAGGGAACATGTGGGGGTGTGTGTGTGCATATGTGGGGTGTGGGAGAGTATGGGGTTTGTGAGGGGCTGTGTATGGGAGTGGGTGGCTAGGGTATGTGAGGGGGTGTGGGTGTGGTGGTCTGTGTGTATGGCAGTGCAAGGGGAAGGTGTGGGTGCATATGTATGGTGGGGTGTGCATGTGGGACTTGCCCTACGAATACACACACACACACTCTGTCCCTCCCTCCCTCTCTCCCCCCCACACACATGCGTGCACATTCTGTCCCCCCCCTCCCTGCATACACACACACATGCAGTATCCCCCATGGTCTTCCCCTGCCTTTCCCCCACCCCCACCCCATGTTCTTATCTGAATCTCCCTCTCTGGCACGTGGAGGTAGAGAACAGCCTCATGCTCCCAGGCCAGAAGCCTGGTTGGGGGAGGTGGAGATGGGAGGGGCAGGGCCAGGTGGGCCTTGCTGGGCTGCTTGGTCTTGCTGCTTGCTTTCCCTGGGTCCTACAGCCCCTGGCTCCTGTCATCTTTGAGAAATATTAATTTTCTAAATTTTTTTAGGGGCCCGACAGGCCAGGTAAAATGGTCTGACAGGCTGGATCCAGCCCATGGGCCGTATTTTCCTGTCCTTGTGTTAAGTATTAATACCCTCTAACATACGCTGCTCTGACCTGCACCTAGAGGGCTGGCAAGAAGCAGGATGGCTAGAAGCTGCTAAATTCACTACTTGCCTGCCTGGCTCACCTGCTCCCAAGGACAGGATAGGTTCCAAAAGTGCGGCCTGTGGCCCAGATTGCACCCGCTAGCCCCCATGCACTCAGGTTGGGTCCCTGTCAACCCAGATCAGCAGCAGCATGAATCTACCCCTCTATTTTGATTATAAGTTCCCATAAAATGGAACCTTTTTGTTCAACACGCAAAAAACTTTTTTTAGTTTATAAAGAAAAGGTTTATTTCAGGTTAACCTGGATATTTTTTTTTGGTTCAAAAAGTGAACCAAAAAATAGAAGTTATTCATCCAGTACTAATCCTTAACTGATTTAGATGTGGGTAAGTTAACCCATGGATTGTGGAAAAGGAGTGACACTCATAAACAATGTTTCCCTATCATCTTTAGTAGGTAATTTCTTATATTTTTATACCATAAATGGGTCAGAATTCCCCTCCATTCATGAAAAACCAGTAGTAGAACAGTGAGATGTTTTTGCTTCTGTTCATGTGCTATATCCAAAATAACTTCCACAAAATCTTTATTCTTACCTGCTTCTGTGGGGTTGGCTGTGGGGTTGACATCTTGATAGGAGTATGGTGGGGGAGAAGGATACTGGTAATCTACTGTATTAAGAAAAAAATGAATAAAGCATAAAATGTTGTACAACGTACCCCCTCAAACACCTAATCAGAATCTGAACAGCGGCTATTGTGGAGTGATCTCCACACTGTGGTTCAGTATTGAGTACACAGCTTCTGTTTGCTCTATACCCTATCATTTGAAAGATATACAGTGCTAAGAAAGTATAAGCTGGTATAATCTTGGGAGGGATTTCAGGATATTTGCCCAGAAATACCTCCGGGACCATTTCCAAACGAGGAAGGATGCATTTTTCAGTGGGCAGGCTGAGGCTTTAGTTCAGCTTCTTAGATAGACTATAAGCTTAGCAAGCATGTAGCATGGTGTGGCATTAGCAAACTGCTCTTCTCTAACTTAGGGGGGAAGAGTATGAGAATTCTTTTAATGTAAATTATTTCTTTAATAGGATTATTGTTAAAGAACTACTCACTGTTGATTATGTTAGTTAAGTTTATTCTGTTTTTCTGTTCCTTCCTGTGTGACTGCACCTTAATGTCTTGGAAAGGTTTACATGTTTCAATGATTGCGACCTATTCCAGCAGGGGCTCTGACTCCTAGTAGAGCCACTTATAAACACCTAAGTCACAAGGTAGGGATGAAATCCAAGACAATCATTGGGCCCTCCAGGTTCTGGACTGAGCAGCAGACTAACGACATGTCCTCATTAAAAAAGAGTTAGGTTACAGAAAAACAAGAAGGTAGCCATTCCAGCAAGCATTAGGATAGGCTAGATGACACAGCGTGCATGCCTTAAGAAATGTCTGGTGGCAGAAAAGAGATTAAGTTATTTGTCTGCTGCTTGGAAACGGGCCTGAGCACATGGAACACAATTGTCAGTGTACTAAAGATCAGTAATGGAGGTGTTGGTTTTCTCGGATTTGGAATGTAATTGGTTGACGTTAAACAGAGTCCCATCCAGGTGATACTTGATGCTGAATCCAGATGGAAATGTATTAGCAATGAGATGGAGAATAGCTGTGATATAGATGAAAAAGTTTTAGTGCAATCGCACATCCTTGCTTGACTCCAGTTGTAATAGTAAAGGTCCATTGCAGAGCTGTTGCTTGCTGTTATGTAGTAATGAAGAAGTCTGGTAACGGTAACAAATTTTGGCAGGCATCCAAATCTCATTAGGATGAGAAAGATGGAAATAGGGCCTCTCCTGGTTGAATCAAAGGCCTTAGGTCAATGAAGGCCATGTAAAGATCTTGATGTTGCTCTCAGCACTTCTTCCGCAGGTGTCTAGCAACAAAGATCATATCTATTATCCGTCTGAGTGGTCTAAAGCCACTCAAACATGGGTAGTATCTCTTCAGTAAGAAAAGTGAGTCTGTTGAAGAGAGTGTGTCTTCTGAGACATCTCCTTTCTTGATTTTGGTAATGATTTTGGCATCTTTCAAGTCACTAGGAATCTGTCCATGTTACCAGATTTTCATAATAATAGCGTATAGTTGGTAAGAGTTTTTTCCACCTTGCTTATAAGGTGCTAAGTTGGTATTCCATCAGGACCACATACTTTGTTGGTCTTCATCTGCTTAAGGGCATTCAAAGCCTCTTGATAAATTGGTGAAACTGCAAGGAAGTCCTTAACGGGGTCTTGTGAAATAGCTTAAATAGTATTGTCTTCAACATTAGAATCTTGATTCAGGAGCTCTTGAGAGGACCTTTCACCATGCACTGATGGTGGAGCTGTCTTTAAAAAGTGTTGTTCCATTCTTGGACTTCAGAGGGATGGCTTCTTGGTTGCACTGAAGAAACTTGGCATGTTGTAGCTATCATCAAACTTTTTAATCTCTTGTTTTGTCCTTTTGCTGCTTGTTCTTTTGCTCTTGACTTCCTCTGGGTCTCAGCTTTAATGTGAAAAGTGTCTTCCTTCTGTTTTGGAATTGATGTAATTCTGCCAAGTTTCAAAAGCTCTCCTTTTTGTGTCAGTGAGAACTTAAATATCCCTATCATTCTCATCAAGCAAGTCCTGATGTTTCTTTGTAGAAAAGCCTAGATATTTTTCACATGCATCGTGGACGTCTTTCTTGAGGCTCTCCCAGTGACTGATGATATCAAGATCATCAGAGAGGTACCAGGCATGGCTCGTGAAAGCTGCTATGGTGGGGCAGATGGAGCATCCCACAGGAGCATGGGGGGGGCCCATGTGCTCAGCGGTGAACCCAGAAGTGAACTGGAAGTACTTCCGGTCTACTTTGGGGTCCACTGCCGAGTGCACTGGGGACCACTCTGCCCCCCCGGCTCAGCAATCAGTTGTGAGGGGGACCCCAGGTGCCCCCCCAGGCCCAGAAGGCGCACCAGTCACTGAGCTGAGGGGGGGGGTGTCCCCCACTCACTCCCCGGAAGACCCAGAAGTGGACCAGAAGTGTTTCTCGCCCTTTTCCAGGTCTGCTGCCAAGCACACTGGAGATCCCCCAAAGCTCCCGTGGGATATTCCATCTGCCCCAGCATCTCAGCATTCACAAGCCACCTCATATCTTGGTTTGTAGAAAAAACATGTAAAGCTGTGTCTATGTCCAAATCATCGAATCACTCTGAATCTATTTGGAGGGTTCTGATTCGATTGGGAGAGATTAAAGGGTCCCTTGATTCAATTCAGATTCGGAGATTCAGCCACCAAATCGGGCTGAATCTCCACTGATCAAATCAGTGACTGAAGCTTTGCACAGCTCTAGCATCCATACTTCAGAAGGATCCTCCACAGCACTTCTTGGCTGACAGAGTTGAAGGCTTTCATGAGGTTAAAGAAAGCCATGTAGAGAGATTAATGTTATTCCTGGCATTTTTCCTGCAGCTGGTGAGCTGTAAATATGTCAGTTGTGCTTTGAGATGACCTAAACCCACACTGAGATTCCGGGAGGAGCTTTTCCCCATGCTGGCCACCCTGGGTTTCAGCACTCTTTCCTGCCTAGGCAGGGGGTTGGACTCAATGATCTGTTGAGGTCCCTTCCGACCCTAGCATCTATGAATCTATGAATAAATGGAACGAGATCGTTCACGACAGTTCTTGCAATGGTCTGTCCTGTGATGGGCAGCAAAGTGATCCCTCTGTAATTTCCACAGTTGGACTTGTCTCCTTCCATGAAGATTGTCATATTCATGGTGTCTCTGATTTCCTTCTCATTCCAAATCCTTAAAATGAGGGCAAGGAGCTTTGATGTGAGCTTCTCTCCCTCTTGCTTGAAGGTTTTGGCTGGAATTCCATCTCCTCCAGGTATTGTTCTTCATCTGCTTGATGGTCTTCCTCACCTTGTCAGGGTTTGGAGGGATTCCAAGATCATCTTTGACTGGCTGTTGCAGGTTGGAGTTGAGAACACTCATCAATAGAGTCTGAATTGAGAGACTTCAAAATGCTCCTTCCAATGGGTGTCGATGGTGACCCTTTCCTTGATCAGGTCTTCTCCATTCTTAGGTCTCAAGACAGTTGGTCCCTGAGTGCTTAGACCATTGATGGCTTTGGTGGCATTGGAAAAAACCCACTTATCATGCATGTCAGTGAGATGTTGAATCTCCTTTGCGTTGTCTTCCCACCATCTGCTCTTCATATTGCAGTTTTTCCTTTGGACCCCTGCCTTGGCTTGTTGGAAATTCAATTTCTTTTGCTTGGATGTCATTCTGCAAAGCATAAAAAGCTTTGCACTTGCAGTTGATCAATTCTGGGATCTCCCAGTCATTCTCATCAAACCAGCCTTGCTGTTTCCTGTTAGAGAATCCTAGTGTTTCTTCATAGGCACTGATGATGGTAGACATGAAGGCACCATGAACACTGCCAACATTCTCTCATTGTTGATTGGAATTCCCCAGTTTTTCATTGAGGCACTGGTGGAAGAAGTCTCTCTTGACTCAGTCCTTGAGTCCTACAACATTGATCTTCCATCAACATTGCTTCTGGTGCAGCCATCGTTTAGGAGCCAGTTTGGGTAATGTAACTGAGTAGATGAGTCGGTGATCAGTCCAGCAGTCATCAGCTCATAGCATAGCTCAGGTGATGTGGACATCTCTGCGATCCTGGGCATAAACAATGACATCAGTCGGATATCAATGCTTATATCAGAGGTGTTGCCAGGATGTCTTTTGACTGTTTTTCTGGTGGAACAGGGTGTTGGTGGTAGTGAGTTCATGTTCCATGCATTTGGTCAAGAGAAGGATGCTATTGCAGTTGACTTTTCCTACTCCTTCCTTGACAGTTCCATTCCAGAGGTTTGATTCCCTTCTGACTCTGGTGTTGAAATCACTGAGAAAAATAAGTCTGTCTCCCTTCAGAACATCAGGAAATACTTAGTCAAGGTTGGCATAGAATTCCTCCTTGGTTTCATCAGCAACATCAACAGTCAGGGCATATGCGCTGATGACAGTGGCATATTGACTTCCCAGAAACTTAAGAAAAAGTCATGAGGTGCTCATTAATTCTGATAGAGAACTCATTAAGTTGATTTATGAGTTCATTCTTGATGGCAAAACCAACTCCGTGAACCTGGCATTCTTCTTTCTGTTTACCTTTCCAGAAGAAGGTATAGGTGTCTCCATGTTCTTTGGACTGCCCTTCTCCTACTTGCTGGGTCTTGCTCAGTGCAGCAACGGGGTCATTTGACCCCAGTACTCTTTCCTGCCATGGCAGGGGGTTGGACTTGATGATCTGCTCAGGTCCCTTCTGACCCTACCAACTATGAAACTATGACATCAGTGTTATGTTGCCTGAGTTCTTGAGCCAGAATTGTGGTCCAACGCTCTGGGTGTTCACACTGAGGATCATCCATGAGGGTCCTGATGTTCTAGATCCCAAAACTGAATGTGTGTCTTTTTTGAATTTGATGACAGTAAAGGTGTGTCACTGGGTACCATCTCCAGGGATGGCTATAAAGCCCCTGGGGACCAACAAAAATTACTTTTACCCTGCTCTATGGGCAGTCCACCCACCTTGCCTGCCATGTCTTGGTGTTAATTGCCATTAATATATGGGGGGCTGCCCATTCACTGAATAATTCACTGCAATTCACTGAATAATTAATTCAATATTTATTGAATGGCCACCAGCTGACTGGTCCCAGCCATGGGAGCTAATTGCATGGCTCCAATCCATCCCTACACTATATCCCAAGCTTCATAGATGCTATCTTCATTGATCTTCTCTCATTACACACACACAGCCCCCCCTGGGTCCTCAGACCTCTTGGTCTTTCCCTCAGGCCCTCTCTGGGCCCCCAGGCCTCCTCAGCCTCTCACACAGCCCCACTCTGTTTCCTTAGATCCCTTGTCTCTCACTCAGCCCCTCCCTGGGCTGCCAGACCCCTTGGTTTCACACTCACCCTCTTTTTTGGTTTGCCAGACCCCTTAGTTTCTCATATGGCTCCTCTCTGGGCCCTCCAATCCCTCATTGGGCCTCTGGACACATCTGGTCCATCTTTTCCCAGTCCCTCACTGGGCCTCTGGACAGACATGGTCCCACTCTGGTCTCATTCCTCTCTGGGATTCTGGATCCTTCTGGTCCCACTCTTTCTTTTGGCTCCCATGCTCCCTACTGGGCCCCACTCTCATCCTCAAGGCTCTTGTGCTCACTTTCTCCTTTGGGCCCTCCCCAACTTGGATAGAACCATCTAAGCCATCATCATGTTGGACTGCAGTCTCTTTGATTCCCTTCCTTAGGCTGTAGCCACACATGGACCTTTATTTTATCCATTTTAGGCATCCCATACTTGCCCTTCCCTGGAGTTTACCATCAGTGGCACTTTCTAGGGGTTACCTCACCACAAGTAGTCCCATCACTATGACCACAAACTTCAGTAGAGTGCAGTTTTTGTTCATACCCAGCATCTACCTCCAGGCTATCTTGCTCTGACATTTTTTACCCTTCCTGGGCTATGGGTTCCTTCCAGCCCCCTTTCTTGCCCTCCTGGCCTACAGCTCTCCAGGCCCCACCTCCAGACACCTTGGCCTCGGCTCAGCCCCTGGTTTATCTGGGCTCACCCAGACCCCTCAATAGATCCCTTACACTCTGCCCTGCTCTCTGGGCCCTGGACCCCTCATTGGGTCCCACATTAGGCTCCAGGCCCCTTGTCAGGTCCCACACACTTGGCCTCTCTCTCTGGGCTCACCTGGACTCCTTCCTGGGTCCCCAGGAACCTCCTCCACCCCTGTAGTTCCTTCCCAAACCTCCAGACTGCTCTAAGTGTTACCCTCCATGTCAACCTTCTGGAGCTGTGGCCATCCTGCTGAGGTGGTATTCTCTCAACAGGCTCCAAGATCTTACTGCCAGCTTTGCCCAGAACTTGGGCTTATATCGACCTTAAACCCAGTCCTCCACCTAGGTCAGATCACTCCCTCCAATCAGCCCTAGCCACTACCTTCAGGCTCCCTGGGTCAGGTGACCTTGTAATCAGCTCTGCAGACTGCTACACCAACTACTTCTCTGTTTAAAGTGGCTAAAATTGGCCACTACAGTTGCCACTTGCCATCCCCCCACCTTACCCCTGACACCACTGCAGCTGCCTGTGGGCAGTACGCGCTCGGCCCGCCCTCACTGCAGATGTCACTGTGCAGTGGTAATGCATAGGGGGTGCATGTGCACCCCCTGACAGCAGTGTTCCTGGGCAGGGGTTGCAGGCATGAGCACTGGTGTCCCCCCTGAGAGCACTGGCTGGGGAGTGTGCCAGGAGAAGTGGTTCCCCCGCGGCCAATCATGTCAACCCTGAAGTGCCAGCGGCATGTCTGGAAGTGCCAGTGTCATGCCACTACCAGCTGCAGGGACCTTCCCCCCTCTCATCTGTGGGACCAGCCATGGGGGGATCACCAAGGCATTTTGTCCAGCCCACACCAGGTCCCTTGGCTTCTCCCACACCAGGCATAGGGGTCAGCCTGAGCCATGATGCATGCAGCCAATCCCACTGCTCCCAGGTACACAGCAGGGCTGGGGCAGTGTGGCAGCCAGACTCAGCTTCCTGACTGCCCCAGTGGTGGTTTCTTCTGGCTGCTGCTGCCAGACCCAACCTGCTGCCGAGGCACCCTGGCCCATCTGCCCCACACCCACTGCTGGATGGGTGGGCCAGGTCTCCAGGGACACCAGCTGGGAGCCATGTGGGCAGGGCGGGTGGATGAGAAGGGGCCACAGGTGGGTGGGGAGCAGCGTCCGGGAGCGGAACAGGCAGGTGGGGCTGTGGATCAGGATTGCAGGGTGGTGTCAGTGTGCAGTCAGGCCCAAAGCAGAGCTGTGATCCTATGTCTGCATGTCCCTACGATGGGTGCCAGTTCTGCCGACAGGGACATGCAGGGAACAGATTGTGATTCTGCCCTGGGTCCTGGCCCATGCTGTTATTGCCCCAGGATCCCAATCCCAGCTCCAGCCCTGACTCTGCCCGTCTGCCTGTCCCGCTTCTGAATGCCACTCCCTACCCACCTATGGTCCCATCACAGCCATCTGGCCATGTGCAGGGGCCACTTAGGGAGTTTTGGTGAGCTGTTGTGGATGGAGTGGGGGGCAAGGAGGGTGCTGACCCAGGCTGCAACAGCTCAGTAAAACTCTGTCAGTGGCCCTCTGGCCAAAATAATTGCCCACTTCTGCTATAGCCAGCGTAATGTAAATTAGCCCTAATTTGATGCAATGGGCATGGGCACCTCCTGAACCCAAGATATGCTGGGAAAGTTAGGCCACCTCATGAGCCAGGCTCATTTTGCATCAAGTGCCATTAATTAGCACTTGAAGCAGAAACCATCCAGAGGACACCTTATCCTTCTGGGACTTTGCAAAGTTAGCCTACCTTCTTGTACACAGAAGTCTGGTGCAGAGGGTGTTTGCATGCCAGGCTGTGGATAAGTCTCACATGAGGTCATAGGAATCATTATGTGTCCCTTCTCACTAGCCATTTTTCCAGTTTGCCTGCAAGAGATCACAACATAACATTGAACCATAAGGTTAAGGATTTTCCAGTGACAAGCACTGCTCGTGGAACTCAGAGACCTGCCTGTCTGAGCTTGTATTAATATGGAAATTAACAGTGCTCAGGTGCTGGATTCTTTATAGGCCAAGCTAAACGCCCATAAACGCCTATCATATTTTATGATGACTGAAACAGGGAATCCTTAATGTTAAAATAACATTGGAGCTTGCCTTATCATGAAACAAGTGTGACTAAGTTCTGACCAGCAGTTTCAAAGTCAAGAATGTCTAGTGTCTAATGACTGCTCTAACACCCTGGGGAAAATGTTTGTCTCAGTATTTATGTCTATACGCAGAACCCAATTTGCACTTGTTTAGTACACATGTGGGTTTTGTCAGAATCATTCAAGGGATGTTTGTAAAGCCGTTTGGAGATGCACATATCTTAGTTAATAAGCAGCCATTTGTAACAACACTGAGTCTGAATCATTAAATGGGTTATGACCAAATAGGTTTATTCCCATTCTCAAATTCTAAGAAAGAAACACATGGTGGTCCTTTGCATTGCTATGTTACTTTTGAGCACTGATGGATTACAGTTGATGCGAACTGGGAAATTCTTACAGGAAACTGCCACTTGTTACAGCTGCACTGTACCACTAGTGCTATTTCTTTGTAAATTGGCCCATGCAGCCACTGGATCTGGCCTGTGGAGCTGGAGGGTTTAACCTGTGCCCATGCCTGTGCCAGGGCCAAATTAATCTAATCAGTTCCAAACTCCTTTCACTGAGCAGAGCTCAGTTGTTCAGGTCTGTGTGACACTACCACTGGCAAGTATCTTGCCTCCCATATTCTTCAGCCTGGGGCTTCAGATACTCCCAAATCCATAGTGGGCATCCTACGTTGAGATGCCCCTTTCTCTTGCCTGTGGCCAAAAGCCCAAAGGAGCCACCTAGGGAGAAATCCCCCCATTTCCATAAAATAAAGTGTGTAGCTGAGATCCTCCCACTGGGAGGCTGTAGTAGGCTCTCATAGAGGTGTCTGCCTGTAGTGCAATGTACAAGTCTCCACCCTCAACTTCAAAAAGCCATTCAAGGTTAGGGAGAAGGGAATCTCCGTTTCCAGGTACAGCAAAACCACCTACTGCACTGGGACTGGGCAACTTCTAGCTGCTTCTCCCCACAAGGCTGCAGTAGGGGTGCAGCTTCCAGCTGGCGGTGAGCTGCAGCTGGGAGGCAGGAGAGTGGGGAGGAGAAGCAGCAGCAACATGGTTGCCTAGCCTCAGTGCATCTCCCCACTGGATGGAAGCTGCATTTGCATCCCAGCCAGGGGATGGGAGGCTGGGAGAAATAGTGGTGACATGGGTGTAGCTCCCAGCTCCCTGGCCCCAGCATAGGCACAGGCAAAGCCCCCTGCCTCTCATGTGCTGCTGAAGCCACTTGGTCCATAGTAGACCAAAGCTTGGTTGTTCCAGCCCACAGCTTGTAAAGGTTGCTGGCTGCTGCTCCAGTCAAATTACAAGTTGTTGAACCAATTCAGGAATCTTCTGATAAAATCTCTGGCCTCTTCTCTATCTTTACGGGAGGTCAGAGTGCGATAGTACTGTGATGGTTTAGGTAATATGAGAGAAGCAAAGTTTGTTTAGTAGTATCTTTTTATCAGACCAGCTATATATTTGGGAGAGGTGGTAAACTAATTTTTAGGCACAGAATGCACTCCTCAGGTCTGGGAAAGAAGCAGATACATCCTACACTAAATACCAGGGGAAAAAGGTTTTATTTATCTCCAGTACTATATAAAAATACAGAATGAAATACCTCTCCCAACTATGTAGTTGGTTTAATAAAAGATTTCTTTCTGTTTCCTTTGTTTTTTTTCTTCTTGCAGAGAGAGTTACAACCAATATTCTAAAAACAGGCTATCGTTTTCTATTGGACTACTTTATAAAAATTCATACAGGCTTTGAATATTTATCGTTGGAAAAATAACTTTCTCTAGTACCCAAGAAATATGTCCATATAGTTGCTGGTGGGTTAACGCCTCATAAAAAATTGCTTCCTCCAAACATTATTGCCCGGGAAGGAAATCCAGTTCTCTCAGTTATGCTGATTGGTAGGTCGAGGTACCCTGAGATTAAGTGGCAGACTCCTTAGTCATGCCTTGGGGAAATAATCTTCACTCATTTGTTCCTTGCCATGCAGGTCTACTCTGGATATAAGGACTTTAGGAGGCATGGGGAGCACCCAAGCTACTGTCCTAGAACATGCTGGAAACCTGGGTCTTGATTGTGGTACTGAGGGCATCTTCATTGCCTCACTAGACATGGACAGAGTGGAAATGATGTATTTTTGGTGTATTTTTTCAGCTGTGCAGCTGAGCACACTTCTGCTGCACTTTAGACATATCCTAAAAGACTTGTTAAGGTCAGGCAGGAGTCTTCTGTCTCTGCCCTAACTTGATATATTTTATATATCTATAAGACCATCATTCCTTCCACAACCAACAAAGCCAGATCTGTAATTGAAAGCCCCTTCTTCATGTCCAAAACATTTGGTTCTAGGCTGCTCAATGATCTGGCGCACCTAAAATACCTTTAATGTGCGTTGAATTAGAGAGGCCTAAGTGTGTTTAATTTGCAGTGCAGCACAGACTTCAGTTGCAACAAATATGGTGCTTCTGCTCTCTTGAGTCTTGTCAATAATTCACATAGGAGCAGGTGAAGGTTCCAACAAAATATACTTCTGTTAAAGGAAATGGATATTACTACAGTCAATGTTGCAACATGACAAAATCCAGCCTGGAATTTACATGTATTTAAGGGATTAAATGTCATTATCTCTTATTTCTAGCAGCATGTGTATGCATCCTTACCCAATATCCCTTCTTGCATTCCAGATGAGGTATCTGTGGTTATAGACTGTATGTCTTGATATGTCTTGATCATACATGTTAGTTGTAAAAGATGTCCTCCGTGTTCAAAAAAACTTACTGTAGGACACACATAATGTCCAGGTTTTACCTTTGAAAATACGATCTTCACAGAGAAGACTAGATTCTGCTTGGCAGGATTATTATTTAATATTATTGTCCTACCTGGGGCCCTAATGTACTGCATACTCTATAAATGTAGCTGACATATTTCCTCCAAGGAGGTTACAGTACAAGATGACAAGGCAGACTGAGGAGGGATATAGTCAGGTGTGTGTCAATGATGTTTGTATTGTAAATTGAATTAGTCTTGATTATTCAGGGCTGTCCTTGAGTCATTCTAACTGGGTGATTTCTAAAGCTGCTGACAGACCCTAGCTTAAAGGCATGGTGGGATCTGATCTGTAATCCCAACAGTTGCGTCTCCTGCCGTGGCATACATGCATGGCAGATGCACGATTTTGGGATGAGAAATCAGATCCTGGGCTCCCCCTGTACCAGCAAGTTGAAAGAGGATGCCCATAATTAACTGATTGCCAGCTGGGGCCAGGGACTGAACCAAGGTCTGAAACAGGCCCCAGTGCAATCCTGAGCCGTAGCTGACAATCAGCTGATTGTTAAAGCACGAGCTGGGATACACATGTAGTTTTTACATGTCCTGATGCATGGGAACCCCAGGATTTAGGACCCTCTCCCCAATCCCAGGATCCAATCACATTGGGACCTTTAAAAACCATGTGTGATGCACAGGAATCTCAAGACTGGGGAGAAGCTTCTTGACCCTGGGTGCCAGAGATGTCATAAAATCACATATGAAGACCTAGCTGCATATTAGGCTTTTATATGTCTAAGGTGCAGTGAGCTTCTGGGGGCCGAATGAGGCGCTGAGTTTCAGGGACTAATTTTGCCCCTAATTGATTGCATATGTGACAATTGTGTCACAGACTCTGGGACTGTCCCATGCAGGATCCTGGCACTCAGCTGAGTGTCAGGATCTGTCATAGGCCAGCCCCAGCCAGCCACATGTTCTTAAGGCATGATACAAACAAACCACAGTGTTGTTGCACATTACATGTGGAATAACTTTGTGACTCATTTACTGTATTATTCTGCCTTAAATTAACACAAATGTGTGGCTGGTCTACTATTGACAGTATGTTCAACAGGTTAATTGTGTCTTAAAAGGAACATGTATAAAGGGCCTAAGACATTAGAGAAGAAGGGGGTGGTTAGTGGAGGAAAGCTGTGGCCTTTCATCTAATATTCCATGCCGCTTTTCATACCTGGAGCAAGGTGTAAACTTATTTGTGAGAAGCTGATAAATGAGCAGCCAAGGCTGGCTTCACTACTGACAAAAAAGTGGGGGTGGCAAAAGTAACAAGGCCAAATGGGCAGGCTAGGACTTGAAAATGGGAACAAATATCTCAGATGTGTTGGCGTGAAATGAGAAGCCTATGGAAGGATTTCTGGGAAGCTTGTGGTCTAATAGGAATAATGAGCAATGGACTGTTGAGGGAATCTTAGCTTCTTTGGCAATCCCTCACAGTCAAAGATGATTGTCTTCCATGACTGTCTTATCTGTGTGTCTGAAGATGGCCAATGAGGGACTAACCGGGATCAACAAGCTCTACTGAAGCTTGGACATGTAATTCTGTGTGGGGTGGGTGGCACTGGATTTTTTATTTGGTCTGTGACACACTGTTTCTGCTGCTCTCACTTTTCCATCTCTTGCTGTCGTGAGGTTTCAAAGTAATGAGATCCCTGCAGCAGACTCTTCCTCCATTTGAAGTGGTCCTAAGCAATAATCCATGAGTTGACATCAATGTTGCATTTTTTTTAAGTTGGCCTTGAAGACATCTCTGGAATGCTTTCTCTGCCCTCCTCTTGAGCATACACCTTGGTGAGCTGGGAGAATAAAACTTGCTGTGGGAGTCTGGAGTCTGACATTTGGATGACACGGTGGGCCCAGCAAATTTAATGCCAGATGATCATCACCTCAATAGATGCTAACATTGGTGTGTCTCTCTTCTCACTGGATTCAGAAGATCTTCCACAGGAGGTGTTGATGGTAC